TGCAGACCTAAGCGAAAGCTCACGCCCCACCAACTACTGATACTGTCTCCGATCTTCTTAAATCTGTCTTGACATCGGGTCTAGGTAAGCGAGGGATAGAGGGGGGAACTACGATAGCCGCCGCGCAAGTCTACCAGCACTATAGACTAATTCGTGCGTAAGCTATCGTCCTGCACCTATTCTGCTCTGAGGCACACAGTGGGCGTAGTCGGAATCGGCAGCCAAACTGCCGATACACGACTTATTAGTTAAATCGTACTGTTTGCTGCTAAACGCGGTGAGTCTTGCTTCCCGGACTAAGGTCACTTCAACGGAAGAAGGGTCTGCTACTCCTAATATTCCAGCTTGTCACAACACCAGTTGGTTTTTGTCACTCATTGGCTTTTCAACGCAAACGTACAAGGTAAATGTTTTGTGACAATAGTCCCATTTTTACCCACCCTCCCCTGCCCCCAATGTTCGGTAAAAAAATTTTTGCTTGTTTCACTACCAAACACGTGAACAATGCATTTCTTAGCGCAGACGATGAAGCCTTGCGATAGTGAAAGCATGGGATGGGCTAATTTGCTAGCGTATATCCGCGTCACCTCTCCTCTGGATAAGGATGACTTGTGTGGCCGCCCATACAGGACACAGGAAAAGGAACAACCCGTCCACTTAAAACAAGTGGCGTTACAATAAAATTCAGGAAGGGTATATAATCCCTCGTCTTAACCCTGGCACTAACCCTAACGCGAAACTAGACTGTAACCTGAATCGTCACCCTAGCCCTGCCTTTAACATAAACCCTTCAGTTAACATGAATCCAAACCGTAACACTTAGCATACTCCTGACCCTAACTCCTAAACGTGACCCTCAACCCTAAGCAAAATTTTCTCGGGATTAGGCGCAGAGACACGTGTATTGCGGGTGGTTTTCGTTCCCGTGTCCTGTTTAGGCAGTCATAGAGGTTATACTTACCCTTTTCTGTAACTTTTTTGCGTCAATGAACATTGAGTTTGCAAGCACACGAATGAATTCGCCTGCATCGGTGCGGACCACTTTGGCTGTGTGTTAACACTAATTAAACGAGCATTTTAGATGACCGCAATTGGTTTTTGTGTGACTTACTGCAAATGGTTAAGTACATTGGATAACATTGTGTTCAGAAAGCAAGAGCGTCCTGATATCCGCGATGTTTGGAACTAGTGGCATGCTAACCCAGTCTGCTGATAAGTTCAAGTTTGCATAGGAAATTTAGACGGCCGTTTGCGTGTAAGTTCGAGCAATGAGTCACGGCCCTAATATTTAACGCTAGATCGAGGAGAGGCAGATTATTTCGTCTTTAATCTCAGGATCTGGAGTGTATGCAGGCGGCCACACAGTGGCCAGTTATCAATAAACGAGATGTACTTCTTGACCGAGACAACAGATATAAATGTTATTCACTGACTGCTTCGAACTTCCACGTTCCATAACTAATAGATTTTGTGATCTGCACCACTTTCGTTTTGATAACTCCTCCATTATAGTTAGCAGGTGGGGAACAGCAGCTGCCTTAAAAATGTTCTGTGACCAGCTGCCTCGAGACTCGCATCGCCGCGCGCTACGCGCAGGATTGGTTCAACATTGGATGATGACGTTAAATAGCTCATAAATGTCTACGCCAGTCACCCTTGCCCCTGTTGGTAGTGCTTCTGCAAACAATACAGTTTTAACTTCGTCTGACCAGATCACTGAACGATCCGCCGAGGCTAGTTAAAACTCTTGATCACAGCTGACAAGCAAACAAGCGAAGGATTTAGTAAAAGAACTTTTGAATTCACACCCAGTGACCCGGGAGTCCGAGATTGAATGCCATTTTATCTAACTTCAGTCCTGCGACATAGCTATCTGACGAGGGGAGGAAAACCAGAAATGGTGCTTTCAGCCTTTTTTGTCTTTGCCAGCGTATGTTTTACGGCCACGCATGCACCAAATAAGTCCTCGATGAACATCGCTGACGTGGCGTGCTAGCCATATACTTCTTTTTAAACACAGATAGCTTTGTAAGGCTCAAAATTCACATCTTCAGATCAACCGCAACGATAAAATATAAGAGCACGTCTGCATTTCTGTTCCAAAGCGGTAGAAATTTGACAAAACCAGCATCGAAGTTTCTGTTACCTTTATTTTTAGACATTGGCTTTTTTGATACACGAGAGCATAGGTAAAGCACAGTTTAATCCGTTTGATGAAATACCAAATAAAACTCATTATTGTGTAATGCGAGGAAAGCTATAGGAAAGTGCCTTTGCGTTTTCTGTATACAGTAAACTGGTTATTCTGTTATTGAATATGTAAAAAATCGATGAAGAAATTTGTTCTACTTAAATCACCATTTTGAGAGCGCATACTTTTTGTAGACGGTCGGAGAGAAACAAACGCAAAAGTCGTTACTGTGGCGTGACTGAAATGTCTCGAGAGTATTCTGCAGCTTGGTTACGCTTTCTACTCAAGATTCTTTTTCAGACTTTCGCTTAACGTTTTAGGATATCCGTCACGTACTAGTTATTTTTTTCATATTTGTCACCTATATGATTTTTACTAGTCTCAACTGCAACAGAAACCACGTGAACCTGTGGTTCAGAAGGTGGTCTTAAACCTGATGAGCCCGTGGACCGGTTTGGGTTGATTAGCTGTCTGATGCCTAGAACTAATTCCGAAATGACCACTACTGGTTTCCCTGTTTTTGTTAACAAAGACCTCAACTACCACAGACTACTAAACGTTGAGTTGGCTTACAGAACGTTTGTAAATTTCTCGGAAAATGAAATGGTTTTAAAAACTCCTCGACGTACTTATGAATGGGTGGGTGGGCACAGTTGGATCTTCTCCTACCATATTATCGTCAGTGTTGTTCTGAAGATACCAAAATTACTTGCGGCCTCAGTTTGTGCTGTGACTAACTTAAATCTTTGCCTTCAGACTGGAGGGTCCGCGACGGAAGAACGCGACTCGAGAAAAGATTGCAACCTTGAAAACCTGGCTTCAAGACCACGCAACCAATCCCTATCCGACAAAGGGCGAAAAAATTATGCTCGCTATTGTCACGAAAATGACTTTTAATCAGGTAAGTGAATGTTGACTTCTCTTCATTACCGACTTTTTCCCATTTGCCCATTTTCCGTGGACTGGAAAGCCCAGTAGTCTGAAAACAAACTATAGAGATTTTCTGGAGTAAAAGACCTTCCTGGGGTTTCAAAAGTCTACGGCCAAACATGATGGCGCTAAGTTTGTTGAAGAGGGGGGAGTAGTCTCGTCCTTATAGTGAAATTTAGATCCCAGCTAGTTGCTCTTTATAAGCGAAAGGCTGAGCATTAGCAGTTAAATTCACATTTATAAGGCTTTGATTATCTGAAGTTAGATTTTGATCCAGTTGAAGTTTTTTTCTGTATGAATGTTATTACTGACAAGGTAATTGTATAATACTTCAGCGAATTTATTTTCATTCCCGTAGGTCAACCAGATTTTACTTGTTTTAGAGCATTTATATTCCATGGTAAATATTGAAAAACAGAGTCCTTTTTTTCAAGAAAGGAGATTTATCCTGAAAAGTCCTCCTTGACATTCTTCGAGTTCAGTTAGATTTGCGCGTTGCTTAATTTCTGTGTAGCTACTTATCCCGTGTACAATGTAGTCTAAATATTGCAGATCTGGTAGTGCACTTTTGGGTAACATGCAAACTTAGATTTGTGTCCACCTCAGACACCAACAGCAGTGCAATGAGTTCTAATACGTCCATAATTTCCAGGGTCAAATCGGCAAACCCTCGTGCGACGAACCATGCTCAAGATTAAAAGGCTGACTTGTAACAAGATGTTAATCTTACCTATTATAATGTATTCAGTTAATTAATTGTAGGACAATTTCAAAATATATCTCTTCGACAATACGTTAAGCAGAAAGATCACCTTGTTGAAAAGAATGCCTGGAAATAGGAAACAAGGTTCAGTCAATAAAATGTATAAATGCGCTGGAGTTTGTTAAGTAGTTAGAAGTCATGACACTCGATGCGTCTGTGGGATTAACAAGACTGGAAAGAATATTTTTTGACCAGCCTTGGGAAAATCTGGACATGCAGCCATCAGAAGAACTTAACCGCACATTTCATTGTCAGTACTTGGAAACGAAACGAAACTTGTCAACCCACACAGGTTTGACAATCTGCAAATGCCAATACATTTTGGCAGTAAATGTGGTGAGTAAACTGGAGGTCTCGTTTGAATACTAAGTTACGCTTTGTCTGTCGGATTTGTAATTGTTCGTTTCTTTGACTACTCTCTCCGGACCGTATAGTCCCAGTTTATTATTACTAATAATAACGCTATTTACCTGACAATTGGTCGTTCCTTTGAAAAAAAAACTGATAGCACTGGTTATCGGACCTGAGATGGTGGTGGTGCTGGTGGTGATTGAGGGTAATGTAAGTTACCTGCTGATCTGAATTTATTTCTGAAGAAATATATGAAAGGACGACTTACATGGCCGCCTAAGCAGGATATGAGAGCAGAAACCACCCACAATACAGGTGTCTTTGCGCAAAATGTAAGGGAAAATATGGTTAGCTTTAGGGTTAGTTGTAAATGCAGGGTTTGGGACAAGATTAGGATTAGGGCTACGACTTAGAGTAACGTTAGGGATATTTTTTGTTTTATGACACTGAAATGGTTGTTTTTCTTCTAATTTTGTGCAGGGTCGGCTTTATTACTTTGGCAGTGCACTCCTATTCCCGTGTGCAGTTTAGAGATCATTATAAGTAACCCTTACTGAAAAAATCTGGCTGAGCCCGCAATGAACGGAAGAATACACCCATAGGGTTCAAGATTAGCGAAATGTATCTGGCTTGGGTAGCAGTACTAATGGCTCCTATCTAAGTTCAGATAATCTAAGTGTCAAGCCTGAGCTATTTTACCCTAGAGAAATTTGAAGTTGCACACTAGAACCCGTCCAGCTATCGAGTATATGTCCAGGCAGTGTTCTCGCGATATAATTCGCCGACTCCATTGCTTTGACGCCAGGTGACGACCTTTGCGGCTATCAGTTGTGTTATAACCAAAAAATCGACTTCTAGCCTATGTGTCATACCCCGATGCGGACTGCAGCAATCGGAGGGGTGAAATTGACTTTCTCATAAATATTGGGTAGGAGGTTTTTAAACTTGTATTGTCTGCATTTTCAGATTTCTACGTGGTTTGCGAATGCGCGACGTCGTCTAAAAAAGGAGA